TCTCCTCCTCCCTGCTCGTTACAGTATGACGCTTCTCCTCCACTTTTTATGGCTTCCTGGCTTGCAACAAACCCAGTCCCTCAGGGACTAGGAAAAACACAAAAYGAGATCTTTCTTTCTGCCACCCCTGCCTGTGTATCTTCTTTCCTTATCCTTTCTGGGCACCTCTTTCTGCCTGTCCCAGGCATCTTCTACCCCACAGCTCCATGGGGCTTAGGGGGCAGCCTCCCTGCCTCCCTGCCTGCTGCACAGCCACAGAGCCATTTGGAGAAGATCACTGTGTCCTGGGGGCATAGCCTGGCCCCAGGGCTTCCTTAGAAGGCTTGGAAAAATCCTGGAGGTGGCTGCAGGAGCCAGCTCTTTAAGCTGTGAGTGCTTCCCACTACAGGCTGAGTTATGCCTACAGCACAGCTCTAACCCACAGCTTTCAGATTGCTCAGAAATAGTAATTATTTGGCAAAAGACAGGGATTTGTACTCTTCCCAAGATCTTTGTTCTCTCTAAAACACCTGCCTCCATCTTTAGCACAGGGAATGGGGCTGAAATGACACTTCCCTGCGGCAGGTCCTGTGTGCAAGGCCTGCTGTAGGCACAGGTCAGCTGCAGAAAAAGGTCTTTTCCTGAAGCAGAAGTGCGGCTGGAAGGAACGTGGCCACAGCCTCTCAGGCGCTGCTCCTGCTATTAGTCCTTTGGGGGCAGTTGTCCAGTGGAGACGAGAGCAGCTGGTGGGGAGAAGCTGCTGGAAGGAGCCCCAGGAAAGGAAGGGACCTAAAACCACGAGCTGCAAGTCAGAGATCTGGCACTGTCTGCAGGGAACAACRCAGAGATATAATAGCCGAGCGGTTGTACAGAACAGCGCTCCCTTGYCAGACTCCAAGGCACACGGAAACGTCCTTAACGCACATGGCCCTGGTTCAGCTACGAGGCCGCGATTGAGGCAGAACAACTCGGCCTTGTTGGGTGAGGTACCAGWGCGTAGGTGACTAAAACCAGCTCCCAGCCTGCTGCTATTTTAGCTTATTCTTCCAGCAAGGTACTTGGTAAGTACTCCATTCCAGCAGGCATCAAGGTTTTCAGCTATGCTGTCTTACGAGCAAATGTGAAACGAAGAACAAGCGTTAATTCACAACAATAATAAAACACAAGTCAAGAATGCAATGCAAGGTATGCCATCTTAAAAAAAAAACACATATTTTGAACTTTAWAATGCTAAAAAAAATGCTACAAGTCACATTGTTCTTTGGAAATAGGAATATTTTGATCTTTAACACTCCATTTTCAGGGYTGTACTTCTGATAAGGGCTTTTACAACTTAAGTTCCAGCATCTTGCTTCAGTGAGTGTCGCAATTGCCCGTCCTAGCCTTACAAGCTAAAATGCAACTTTCTAACTGCCTCAGAGCTGACAAGCATGTGCCTTGCAACTGCTCCTGTGGACTTGGCTGCAGCTTTACTCCCATCCTCGGGTGACAGGTCTGATTCCAGCTGCCAGGCCTCAGAGCCACGCAGCAATTGCGACATTCACCACTTGGCTTATGCTCAACTTCAATTAATGACATTTCCCTAATCTTGAGCAAGAAGTGCAGTTGAGCCCAGCACGGCCGCATTTGCGGGGGGATCCTACCTTCATCTACAGCTGCTCACAGAAACTTCTCATCTCTGGTCAATCTGTTCCCACAGCCGAGAATTTGTTCCCATTTGCTAGACTGGCCCCCAGCTAGCTGGTTTCATGGGAACTGAGTGGTAATACAGCCGAATAATGTCTTTAAAAGGCTCTGAGTGACCCTAGATTATTACTCACAGGCAACATTTTTTCCTGAAAAATTGTATCCGAAGAGGGAGATCACAATACATTGAACCCGCTCTTATTCTCTGTGCATTTATTCTGGATGCAAATTTAACTGATTTATAGTAGGCATATCTAGTAGATCAAAAGCTATTTTTATTTATAATCTAAATTCTCCCAGCTCTAATGACGGAAAGCTAAATCTCCTGCCTGACCACACTATTTCACTATATGAAGTTTGTCTTTTAAAAGGAGAAGGCACAGTCTGACCCACAGAGTGTTTCCCAAAAGGGGTAAATACATAATTCTCCCCTTAAATCAAAGGCCACGCTCCCTTAAAAACTGCTGTGCTTCTCAAAATGTGACAGGATCTACATCTTTACAACCCCTAGATCCTACAGGTTAGATTTAAGTGTGGTTGTCCCTCCTCCTTTTTAAGTACTTAGCTGAATTGGGGGCCCAGAGAACAAGGGTATGATGTTTCCCAACTCATGGCTCCAGAAGATTGTTTTCCTAGGAAAATGTTAAAAGCAATTGCTCATTAGAGCACTTGTAACAGTCCCTGTGGCTCAAAGCAGAATCTTTCTCAAATGCAGTAAAAATCTGCTCCAAGTGTTGCAATTAGCATTGGCCCTTCAGATTTCCCTGTTCATATCTATTATGTGGTTTAGCTGTCTTTGGTGCCAGCAGTAACTCGCATTTCAGGTTTCTATTCATCTTAAGTGTAGGGAGCAAGGCAATTTTGAAATCTGATTTTCGAGTGTTCCCTCCTTTTCATTCCTTTAAAGGAAAAACAACTCACAGCATCATCAGCAGTATAAACCTGCTCAGACACTACACACAAACCTCACTTGTTGACACGCAAACTTCCCTCTTCACGTGCATTTAGTGTTTTGCTTCATCACTAGAACACAAGTGGCAACAAATACAACGTTTTAGCATTGCAAAACCATCAGATAAAAGCAATGATTTTCTCMTACATAAATGTACACCGTCTTTTTCACTGTAGGCCCTCATGAAGAGGAAGAAACTATTCCTAGTTCACAGGTAGGCGATCTGGAGCAAATGCTTCTGAACATGTAACTTCAATTTGTACCGTAATCAAACTTCACTTTTCTTAATTTTAGTGTTTTAGCCTAAATAATGCAGCTAGGCTAGCTGATTCAAATGACTGATTAAACTTATGATCAAAAATCTTAGACAGAAATGACTGAGATGTGCTCCTACAYGCAGAACTGTATGCACATCCTGTTATTCTAAAAGAAATCAGCCTCTAACCTAGGTGCTAGTTCATAAAAGTTACCTGTCACTAACCCTAGTGTCAACAAGRGCCAACCCAATAACATTGCCATGATTTTATTAAGCTTTGTCCTACCATTTACAAGAACAGCATTTAATAGCAATACTTATTTTTGTTYTACAGAAATGGGACACATCCTATGAAGGCAAACACCCCTTTTCCACCATAACCTTTCTTAATTTGAATCATCTGGTACTCTCTCATGAAGGCAGACCTCCATCACTCCTTTGCCTTTGTGTTCAGCTGTCCCTTCGGGCTGTCTCTTGCATGCTCTACTCCTTCCTGCACCATGGCCCTCCTGGCGCTTGTGCTTCACCCCAGCACACTCTTCCTTGCAGAGGGGCTTGGGCTTCATCCCAATGTGGGGCTTGTGCTTCACCCCAGCGTGCTCTTCCTCGCAGTGGGGCAGCGTGGGGCCTGGGCCRTGCACAGTGCTGAGCTGAACATGTGCTGCTATCCAGGAGGCAAACCATCAGGCCCTGCTCAGCTTTACATATATGTTGCGCTGGCCAGAATTTGAAACACAGGCAGTTCCATTTCCATGTGAGAAGGAACTTYTTTCCTGTGAGGGTGCCCAGGGAGGTTGTGGAGTCTCCTTCTCTGGAGGGCTTCCAAACCCGCCTGGATGCTGCCCTGTGCCCTGGGTGCCCTGGAGCAGGGGGGTTGGACTGCGTGATCTCTAGAGGTCCCTTCCAACCTCAGCCATTCTGAGATTCTGTAATTTATTCCACAGGGAAATGGATTTAGGGATTACCTGTCAAGCCTAACAGCATCTTCAGGGCCGCTCCACATAACTGCTGGTGAAAGCGTTTCACAAAGCCACACAAACACCTAGAGCCTGCGTTCTCCACACAAGGTGATTTGCAGTGAGGCTAAAAGACAGAAAAACGTAACAGAAGCAAGAAGCAGGGAGATACCTGCACACTGGCACGTAAAGGAGCACAGCCACAGCAGACCTCACTGCTCATTACATGACACAAAGGCAGCAGGAGTCGGTTACTTGCTTGGCTAAGAGCGAGCTTATGAAAGAAGAGCTGTAAACCACAAACCGTGCAGAACCTGGGAGCTGCTTCTCAAGACACGCTGTCCAACTCTGTTTAAGAGCAGCAGAGCAGCAACCCTTTAGAGCACACAAGCCTCACGCCCACCCCAGCACTGCACTGCTGCTTCCATTTCAGAGTCCATTAAAGGCACATTTTACGTATTATATGACTACAGGTCCCATTCAGGTAGGTGCTCACTGCTGAAATCTATTTGGAAACCACAGACTTGCAGGTTTTTCTGAGATGAGAAAATCCACAGAAGAAATTTCAGGAGAGGACAGGAGTCCCTGGACTGGTAAATGTTCTGTTTATATGAGAGAAGCTGAGCAGCAATGCATGCCTCACRCTACTTTTGGAAGGAAGAGTGCGCTCACGTGTGAGCAAATAGTATGCAGTGTGTGCAAACCCACCTGGCTTGTGTATGTTTTACAAACTGGAAATTTATYTGTGCTTACTTTCAGCTCCACTGGCACTGAATTGTACTCACACTACTGCAAAGTATTTACTACTCCCCAGAATCTTTCATGAGCCTCAAGAGTGGTTTCTCAATGAACTCTGCCCATTTTAATTTGGGCAACAGCGACATTTCCCCCGCTTTACAACTGAAGCTAAAAACAGCCTCTTTCATTTCGTAACTTCCAGAACTTTTAACAAAAATGTGTTTTACAAAGCAGCACAAGCAATGGAAACAAGCTGGCATTAAGAATTGCTGTGAAGACCCAACAGAAGACCAAAACAGATGAGTCATCCAAAATACCATCTCCTCCTCCTCAGGAGGTGACTACGCTTTTAGCAGGTTAACAGAATATTGCTAACTGGAAACCACAGCATCCTCTTTAAAAACGGGTTTGTGAGAAGGCAATTCAAATACTATTTGTACCTTATTATTGCTTTATTGTGCAAGACAAACAAAATATMGACAAACAGACAGTGAATAAGATCAGCGTTCCTCAGTTCTCATCCATAAGACAATCCTTCACACTGAATGGCAAGGAGCTCTTCCAAGTACAAAGGCCACGAGAGACCACAGTGCCACAATACTGGAGACTCTAAAGGGTAAAAATTGTAAGATATGGTTAGGCTTTTTAAATTTAGGGAATCATTTTGTACTTACTAAGCACTGGGATTCCTTTCCAAATTGTGTCATGTGAGAAATTGACCCTTCACCAACATCACTGCCTTGCACTCTGAATCTGCAGTTCTCTCCTGCTGCTAAGTTGAAAGCTTGCGCAAAAAAAAAAAAAAAAAAAA